AGGAACCTCCATACCATTTTCCATAGAGGCTCCGGAAAATGTGGTATATCTACACAATGGATGGTATATCTACTACTCAGCTATAAAAACGAATGAAATACTGCCATTTGCAACAACATGGATGGACCTTGAGAGAATTATATTAAGTGAAATAAGTCAGGCACAGAAAGAGAAATACCACATGTTCTCACTTACTGGTGGGAGCTAAAAATAAATAAATAAATACACACACACACACACACACACACACACACACACACACAATCCGGGGGGCGGGGGGGGAAGAAGACTTAACAACTACAACTCCTTGAAGTTGATACAACAAGCAAACAGAAAGGACATTGCTGGGTGGGAGGGTGGAGAGGGAGGAGGGAGGGGGGTTTCGGTAATGGGCCACAATAATCAACCTCATTGTATATCGACAAAATAAAATTAAAAAATAAATAAATAAAATAAAAAGCTCCCCAGGTGAGTCCAATGTGCAGCCAAAATTGAGAACCCCTGCCTTAAACTAAACACTGACAGCTCTATTACTTGCAGAGTCCCAAAGCCAAGGCCAAGCAAGGGCAAACTGAAGGGAGCTGCCCTCTGAAATGTCAAAGGAACACCACCTGTTTCTGCCACTCTGTGCCATGAGACAGTCAGTAGCCACTCACGTGATGAAGCACATGGATCCGGTAGGAGCCCTCAGAAGGCTTGCCATCGTGTACGATGTTTGCAATGAGGTCATAAGTGGTGTTCTTGTGTACTGCTTGTACTTCTTCAGACAAGTATTCCCTCAGATCCACGTTTCTGGTGATGATGAAAATAAAGCCAGAATATGAGACAAGGGCTATGAGATTAGAGAAACTGTACTACAGAAATGGATCACACAGCACTTGAATCCTATTTTAGGACCCTAGCTCTGGGTAGGCTTGCAGAGCCAGGAAAGTCCAGATTTGTTGGACTCCAAAATTTGCCAACAAGAATGATGGTCTCTCTGGAAAAAGTGCCTTTTAAAGAATGTCTAGGAGCAAAAAGTGCAGGGTCTAGACTCATTCCAACTTGAACTGGAATCCTGGCTCTGCCTCTTCGGAGCTGTGCGTGAGTTGAAGCAGGTTACACAACCGAAGCCTCTTCTATGATACAAGACTGAGAGTCACTATCTCCTGCAGGATGGTGAGGAGTAAGTGAGATAACTGGTGGATTTCATCCTACTCACCATCCTATCTGGGAATTCAGCTGCGGCTGCATGGTATCAGTCAACACTTGATCTCTGGACTTAGGCTATGGAAGGCCTAAATATGTGATTATCGTGCTGCTGGACGTCATCATTGTAACAACCTCAACATGACAAACAAGGCAGATCATCCAGATTTATTTTTCTTTTATTTTCTGAGACCTTGCTTCTTTACTTGATTGTTTTTTTCTTTTATTCAAGTAAGTGGCAGACCAGATTCAAGTAGCAGAAACCTACCCAAGCTAGCTTAAGCACAAAAGGGGACTCTATTCAAGGTTTTCAGACTAGGAAATGCACTGGAACCAGGTACTAGAAAAAAAACAGGATCCAAGAGAGCCACATGCCCTCTTTTCTGCCTTCTTTGGACATCAGCTTTATTCCTCTCCTTTACTTTGGAGCCCAGCTTTCTCTTTTTTATATGACCCACACCTTGGCTACCCCACAGGTTCCAAATTTCTCAGTTCTGTTTGCCAAAGAGACTACTGACTAGGTTCCTTCAACTGGGACTTAGAAACATTAGATTTATTTTTAATATCTGAACATTCACTTCTAAATATGGAGAAGCATTCTTGATGTACTGGAATAAAATCTTCTCCTTTGTTTCATGTGTTGAATTTTATCCAACAGTTAAAGTATAAATGTACATCGGGTATTACAAAGTAAAGTGCTATATGATAAATGCTTATTGTGAAGATTGTACAAAGACAATTGTGAAGAACATTCAAATAGTTAAATAGGGAAACAGATCAACAACTAACATAAATATTAAGAGAATATATTAACCACCTAATTTGTAGGAACCTATGAATATTTACAAAACTTTAAATAATACATATCTCCCTTTGAATTTAGACTATGTAAATATATTAATTGTTCAAATATACAAAGAGTTTTAAATGTAAACTATGTAGTAATAAACAAACATACAACTTTGTTCTAATTATTTTATGCAGCTCTCCATGTGTTGGTGATAGCTACTTGTTTCTACTGACTGACAGTGTCCCATATATAACAGTCAGATTGTGATAAATATTCACTGTTAAAGATAATTTAGATATGAGTCCTAAGAAATCCACATGCGCTCTAGATGGTCATCCTGCCTGCCAGCTGCTAAAAGCTAACTTCTGTTATTTTCCCTTCAGCTTGAACAACAGCTGTCCAGACTCTTCTGAATGAGTCCTAGAGAAGCCTCCAGGAGTGTTTATACTTAAGATTTCATGACTGAACCAAAACTATTCAAGTGGCAAAAAGAATGAATTAACATTTAATCATTTTGTTTTAGAAAATAGGTCAAGGAGCTAATACCAAGGTCAAGGGTTCAGATCCCTGCACTGGCTAGCCACCAAAAAAAAAAAAAAAAAAAAAAAAAAAAAAAAGAAAATAGGCAAAGGAGCAAATCATACTCATCTCCCAATCTGACCAACAATCCAGTTTAGAGAACTAATTAACTGAAAGTAAAGCTTTAACCTGTCCTCAAAAGACCATATCTCCAACTGGGCGACAGCAGGCTAGTCAGTTCTATAGCAATGGAGGGCATTCTGGGAATGCTGGTGGCAGCAGGGGTGGAGGCTCCTCTGGCTATGGCTCCTACTGTCAAAGCAAGAACTACAACTTGCTGGTGCCCCCAAAACATGCTGGGAAGCAGCAGCCACATGGAGGTCAGCAGAAGACCTCCTATGGCTCGGACAACCAGTTCCCCCACAGCCAACAGCAGTCGGACAACCAGAGCCAGTGCAGCAACTACGGATCCCCACAGGGCGAAAAGAAAGGCTGTAACCATGGCAAAGGCGACTCCTCTTCCTACTGCAACTCCTACAGCGGGGGCAGCTACGACTACAACTACGAGAGCAAATTCAACTACAGTAGCTATGGCGTGGGCGGGTCATCCTACAACCCAGGTCACATGGGGATTCTGGGGGCGGCTCCTCACTGAAGGCAAACAAGGAGGCTATTCGTCACGGTCCAACAACAACTCCCCCAGGTCTGGCCGGAATGACAGTGGCTCTCCCAGCTCCTGCCTGTCCTCACAGAGCAGCTACAGCCAAAACACAGACCAGAGTATGAACTATAAGTACAGAGAAAGCCTCCACAGGGGCAGGGGGGAGACTTGTACCTTCTTATTTACTCCTCCCCACTGGAAAATTCAGTTCCCACATCACAGTTAACATGTCAGCCGGCCCCTCTAGGCCCCTGCCCTGTTGCCAAGTTGGGAGATGCAGTGAGTCACTCCCGTGACCCATTCTGTGACCCATATTTAGCTGTGTTTGGCACTCTGTCTTCAATGGTTTGTCAGTTGCCATTACAACTTTGGGTAGAGGTTTTTTTAAGTTCTTGAAGTTCAGTATCCTTCTGTCTATTGACAATGGGTGTTAGAGTCAACTCAGTTTCTCTTTAAATAGTGACAGAAGGGATAGGTCATCTGGTAATGCTTTTGTGAAGTGAGAGTTAAATGAGCTTTCTGTAATTTAATGCTTTAGTGTTTCATTTTTATAAGTGAAGATTTTATTTTAAAAACCAGTGGGACAGAGTGGGGTTTTTTGGTATGTCTGGATCATTTTCAGGCAGTATATCTAAATTAAGCTAAATGTAGACAAATAAAGAAAAAGAAAACTGAAGGAAAAAAAAAAAAGAAAAATCCCTATCTCCAAACAAGCAGAGGGCATCTAACTACTGCAAGTCTGATAACTCTGATGAAAAGAGGATATGTTATGAATTAAATACAAGAGAAGACTTAGGAAGAAAAGAGTCCTTTTCAAGAAGTAGGGACATTTAGATAATCTAGAACCAAATTACCTGAAAGTAACAACAACAAATAAAGTAATTAAAGCACAGTTTTCCAGAAGGAGTCACACAGTTTGATGTTCTCTAAAATGCTGACTAGTTACAAAGTTAACCTTTTTCTTAACTTCTCTGAAGGAAGTTTTCTGAAGAACAAACTACTGAAGTCATAGTTACCAAAAATCCAAATGCAACTGGTAGGAAAATAAACATACCCCAGGCCCAGTGTAATAGAAACCAATTAGGGTAAGAAAATTTCTGTGGCAACTCAGCAGGAACCGCCATCAATATAGTCTTCCTCCTGCTGGAGCTGCCCTTGGAGTCAAGACTGCTCCTTCCCACCAGAACAGGCCACTGACTGTGGCAATTCACTAGAAGCCAGTTCTGAAATAAAACCTTGATTCATGGACTTTCAAAGAAAGGGCCTCTGTGGTACTTTGCAAGGTAGCAGAGAGCTGGCCACCATGACCCTCTATTCCCTTCTACAGGTGACATAAACTGTTACACATCTCACTGTGCAACGGAGATGAAAAAAAGATTACTCAAAGCAGCATGAATGCAATGAGAAGCCCGAAGGGACTGCACCTCAGCAACTCCTCTGTTAGGAGTAAACAAGATGCCAGTGAAGGAAAAGAAGAAAAGTGTGGCAAAGGAGAAAAAAAATTCTCCTATATTCCTCTTTGCAAAGATTCTCTCTCCTCACCCCACCCCCACTCCATACAGTTCTCAGATTCTCAGCACTCATAGAATCCGGAAACAATAAAACGTTATACCTGGAAGGACTCTTAGGGCTCATCCAATCCAAGCCTCTTGTTTTATCCAAAAGAGACTACATCCAGAAAATATGCAAATAACCTGTCCAAGGTCCCACCACTAGGACAGCCCAGGACTTAGGCCTCTTAATTTTAGACACTACCCTCTTAAACACTACACAGAATTAAGAACTGGAACTGCTCTTTTCCTCTCTGGCTTCCTGAGGATCGGCCGCTATCATGAATGACACAGTAACTATCCAGACCAGGAAATTCATGACCAACTGACTACTTTAGAGGAAACAAATGGTCATTGACGTTCTTCACCCCTGGAAGACAATAGTACCTAAGACAGAAATTCGGGAAAAACTAGCCAAAAGGTACAAGCCCACGCTGTATGTCATCTCTGTATATGGATTCAGAACCCATTTTGGTGGTGGCAAGACAACTGGCTTTGGCATGATTTATGATTCCTTGGATTATGCAAAGAAAAATGAACCCAAACTAGACTTATAAGACATGGCCTTGTATGAGAAGAAAAAGACCTCAAGAAGACAGCAAAAGGAACACAAGAACAGAATGAAGAAAGTCAGGGGGACTGCGAAGGACAGTGCTGGTGCTGGCAAAAAGCAGGAGTAAAGATTCTGCAATGACTTTATCTGAAGTGATTATGCAAATTTTTCACAAGACGATTCGTAAATTGTTAAAATCCTAAAAAAACCCAAAAAACTGAAACTATTTTCAAAGGAAAAAACTGACAGTCCTGGTATAGTTTGGGGAACTGGGAAACGGAAGAGGATAGAGGGAGGGAGAAAGAAACAAGATGAGCATCTGCCGATTACTTCTCCCAAACTATTTTGTGAAAGTTTAAAAAAAAACAAAGACTAAAAATAAAAAAATAAAGACTAATGGCCTAAACATCATATACCCATCCAAATCCTGGACTCTACCCTTACCTTATCTAAACACCAGCACACTGAGACCCACGTTTCTTCCTGCCAGCCCTACCACGAGGTTTCTCCATGTTCCCAGAGACAGCTTCTTTAGAATGTGAAAAACCTTGTCTCCTAAGAACTGAAAACCAACAGTCTATCCCCAAAGGAGTCTTACAGGAGATTTCTGAGCTAGAAGGTAGCCAACGAAAAGCATCTGTTACTGTTACAACTGTTTCCAATTTCCCATTAAAATACATACAAATGTTCATAAAAAGACAACAGCATGACAAATTAAAAATAAGACCATAAATCAAAGTTTACAATTTCCCCATCAATAGGAAGAAATTGAGCACATTCTAGACTTTAACCTATGAGAAAAAAATTGAAGAGATGGACCCCAAGATGACTAGACAAATCTGAAACCATCCCCACTGTCTGTGACTAGCTCCAGTATGCAAGGAGGTGTGATGACCAGAAAACGGACAGGCAGACCCTACCTACTCAGAATGACCTTCAAAGCCAGGCAGAATCCCACCTGCCCCACCCCACTTTCATCAACTCTTCTTCTCTACATCAAGACTACAATTCCCAGCCAGCAACTGGAGAGAAAATAAAGGAAAATTCCTCCAGGTAAACATCTATCTGTGGGGTCCCTGAATTATATGTATTCTTCCAGTAAAAACCTTTAAATTATGTAGTGTATGTAGACTCTGTTCCTTGCAATCTCCAACTAAAACAGTCCAAAATTAATAGTGGTACAAAAATATGAAAAGAAATCCAGGCTCACTCCCCCAAGAGGAAGTGAAGCATGAAGCAGAACGATACTCACGTAATAGGGAAGTTGACGATAGTCGGATTCTTCTCTACGAAGAAGTTGTTCTTAGTGAATCTCTTAATACAAAAGATTAGATATGGAGGCAGCTTTGTGAGTTGGAAGCGCTTCAGAAAGTTCTCCTTGTAAGTCTTATATTCCTAGAGAGAGAAAAAAAAATTATCAAATTAGTGCTTGAGTTTAGTAGGTACTGGAGCAGGGGCATGAGCTTTTTTTTTTAAACATAATTTTGCCTCACACCTAGAATTCAGAAGACACCGTGAAGCTATGTATGAGGTTTAGGATTAGCAATTTGGTTAAGGCTGATTAAAATATCTCAACTGTGGGCTGTGTTTCAGCCAGCATGTGATCATACTGTTGAATTCTAACCATATGTGAGTAGCAGCTTCTACCTGCTTCTACTAGGAAAACAAAACTGTCAAACAAAAAAGACTTGTTAAAAGCTGCAGAATTTAAACCATGCAAGTCCACTTAATTCAAAATAAGGAAGAACTTTTGCCACATTGAGAAGTCCCTCACCATTGAGAGTATTCCAACAGAGCTAGTAACTGACTTCTCACATTTCTTCTTCCTCAAAGGTCCCAAGACTCATGGGTCAAGTGCTGTCTGGCAGGGGCATTTACTGAGGGCTCACTCAGTATGCACGAGGAGATGAAGTGGTGTAGAACGCAGGGCATCCGCCCAGCCCAAGGGGCTTAAAAGTTGGTGAACATGAATCTGTGTTTTTCCTTAACATAAATTCTTATCGTTGGTAAAAACTAGGACACAGGAGTGCAAGACTAACCATAATCAGAAAATACCAGTGAAGGGCCGGCCCGGTGGCGCACTGGATAGTGCGCCGCTTGTGAAGCGCGGCGGCGCTCCCGTCCGAGGGTTCGGATCCCACATACAGACTGGCTCCCGCTCACTGGCTGAGCGAGGCATGGGAGCAACACCGAGGCTTGCAATCCCGTTGCCGGTCCCCGGTCCGGTACGGGGGCAACACTGAGGGTTGCGATCCGTTGCCGGACATGGAAAAAAGACAAAAAAAAAAGAAAATACCAGTGAAAACATCTTTTTCTAGAGTGGGTCACTTCTGGAAGAAATGATAGACCACTCCAGGGATCCTCCAGCTTCCCAGGCAAATATTTTAATTTGAAAATCATATAGGCATACTTCAAAATCATCTGGATGATGACCCTATAGAATATCAAGTAAGAGTTTCACTTCCAGCATTACAGCATGAGGAGCCCCACAGACCTGCTCCCTAGTAAAACTGGTGAAAATTATTAAGAGGCCAGAGAGCAAATGAAGAAACATTTACTAAAGAAAATGTGTTTAATTTTAATTTTTAAAAAATTTTCTTTAAAATGCTACTAAAAAATACATAAAATGCTACTAAAATAAAATCTAGTAAGTTGGTAAGAAAAGCAAAAGTCTGCGGTGTCTGAATCAAAGCCTCTCCCTTCCAGCTCAATGAGACAGAAATTCCACTTCAGAGATGCATCCAAGGGCTGGCTGGTTAGCTCAGCTGGTTAGTGCACGGCCTTGTAACACTAAGGTCAAGGGTTTGGTTCCCCATACTGAACAGCTGCCGAAAGAAAAGAAGATAAGCAGAGATGCAGCCAAGAACACAGGGCTCCCTCTCCCCCAGCTCCCAGAGGAACATCTTCCCATGAGGAACAGGATGACTGCATTTCTGCATTTCTGCATTTCCCCAGCTACCTGCTGCTGAGGCTAAATTAAGGGTCAGTGCCCAAAATACAAGTACATAAAGCAAAAACTGGCAAAAATGAGAGGAAAATAGGCAAATTAAAAATGTTCGGAGAAACCAATACCCTACTTTCAATAATGGATAGAGCAACAATGCAGATGATCAACAAAGCAGCAGAAGACTTGAACAACACATAAACAACTAGACGCAAGAGACATACATGGAACACCCCACCAACAACAGCAGAATGTACATTCTTCTCAACTGCACGTGTGTCATTCTCCAGGACAGACTACAAAACCAATTTCAATAAATTTAAAAGGATAGAAATAATACAAGTGTGTTCTCTGACCACAATAGAATGAAAGTAGAAATCAGTACAGAAAGAAATCTGTAAAACTTACAAATATACAGACATTAAACAGCACACACCTAAACAAACAATGGGTCAAAGAAGAAATCAAAAGGGAAATTAGAAAAGACTCTGAGATGAATAAAAATGAGTGCAAAATATAAGAAAAGTTATAGGACGAAGCCAAAGTGGTCCTTGGAGGGAAATTTATAGCTACTAATGCCTATATTAAAAAAGATTCCCCACCCTCCCAAAAAAAAGAAAAAAGAAAGAACCTAACCTCAAATAAATAACCTAACCTCCTACCTTGAGATATTAAAAAATAAAAGTAAACTAAATAAAGCAAGCAGAAGAAAGGAAATTAAAAAGATTAAAGTGGAAATGAATGAAGTAGAGAATAGCAAACAATATTTGAGAAAAACAACAACCCAAAGTTGGATTTTTGAAAAGACAAGCATTTAGCTAGATTGACCATAAAAAACAGAGAGAACACTCAACTTACTAAATCAGAAAATAAAGAGGGGACATTACCACTGCCTTTACAGAAATAAAAAGGATTATAAAGGAATACTATGAACAACCGTACGCCAATAAATTAGGTAACTTAGATCAAATGAACTAATTCCTAGAAACACAATCTTTCTAGACAGAAAGTTTCTGTGGAAACTTAAAAAGAAACAGACAATCTGGACAGACCTACAACAAGTAAAGGATTGAATCAGTTATCAAAAGACTATTCATAAAGAAAAGCCTAAGACCAGATGGCTTCACTGGTAATTTCTAACAAACATTTGAAGAAGAATCAACACCAATTCTTCACAAACTCTTCCAAAATATTGAAGAGGAGAGAACACTTCCCAACTCGCTCATGAGGCCAGCATTACCCTGATACCCAAATCAGACAGAGACATCACAAGAAAACTACAGACCAGTATCTCTTATGAATATGGACATAAGGTTCAAGCGGGAGCTGGCCAGTTAGCTTACTTGGTTACAGTGTGGTGCTGATAACACCAAGGTCAAGGGTTCAGATCCCTGTACCAGCCAGCTGCCATAAATAAATAATAAAATTTTAAAGTAGTAAAGCTTTATTCAGATATAATTCACATACCACATAATTCACTCATTAAAGTATACAATTCAATGATTTCTAGAACATTCACAGAGATATAACCAAGGGATTAATCAAAATAAAATAAGCAGAGCTGACTGGTTAGCTCAGTCAGTTAGCACATGGTGCTGATAACACCAAGGTCCAGAGTTCAATCCCTGTACCAGCCAGCTGCCCCAAAAACTCAACAAATAAATAAAATGAGAACATAAGTAGTGGTGGGTAAAACAGCAAGTGCACAGAATTCATTTAAATGTAGGACAAAAAAATTGGGAAGTTATGGTTACAGACGAAAATTGTAATAAATTTTAACAGAAAGGCTCAACAGAAATTGGGAGGGAGGATGGGAGAGAGGAAGAAGGAAGCAGTATAAGTGTATAAATTCCTATACTGTTCATCGTAGAGAGACGATGCCTCCTGTCTAAATTTGAAATATGAATTTTTTTTTTTATAAAATGTTAATATCCTAATGGCTATCATAATCATAAAGGGCTCCTATTGGAATTAATACCCCTGGTGATGAAGAAAGATTTATATGAAGTTTAGTAATAATTCCTTCAGGTTCATTTAGTTTTGTTATGTCATGAGCTACTCATGACAAAGTTAGCCTGGGTCTGGCCAGGTCAGAGGACACCCAGGCTTCTCAGAGCTGGGGCAAAGGACAGTCCCTGGGGAAGATAGAAAGGAAACCATGGTCTCAGGAGCAGCCACAGCCCATTTAGCTGAAGGATACAGGAAGCATCCGACCCATTGTTGAGAACCCCCAACCCAGGTGCCTTAGCACCTTCAGTGGACAGGTTCTGAGTGCCCTAGGACTGGGGGCGAGGAGTCCCAGGTGCCCTGTTCACTTGTGTTCATTTATCCATTCATCCAAGAAACACTTATTAAGGATACAATAGCCAGGCACTGTTCTAGGCCCCTGGAATAAATGAAATGAATGAACAAAAATGAACATATGAGGGTTAGTTGAGTGAAACAATACTTTTGAAAAGAATATAAGTGTGAAAAAACAAAAAGAAAAAAAAAAGAAGAAATGAAAAGCAAGTGAAATGTGATGTCATTCTTACTCCTTTCTATCTGCATATGTGTAAAAAAAGATGCCAAGAATGATGGTTTTCAATTGTTAACCCTGGTTATTCCTGGCTGGTGGGATTTTAGGTGATTCATTGCTTTTCTTTACACTTTTCCATATTGCTTGAATGTTTTATAGTAATCATGTATCATTCTTATAAAAACAGTAGAAAAGATCAAATTCTCTGCAATCAAAAAAATGGTTAAAATGGTAAATTTTGTTATGTATATTTTCCTACAATTAAAAATATATAATGCAAAAAAACCTAAAACTTTTGCGCTTCAAAGGATACTCAAAGCAAAAATACAACCCACAAAATGGGAGAAAATATTTGCAAATCACACCTCCAATAAGAGACTCGAATCTAGAATACAGGAAGAGCTCTTAAAAGATAATAAAAAGATATATTAAAAAATGGACAAAGGTCCTGAATAGACATTTCTCAAAAGATAATATACAAATGGACAATAAACACATGAAAAGATGTTCGACACCATTAGTCATCAGGGAAATACAAATCAAAGCCATAATGAGATATTACTTGCCACCCACTAGGATGTCTACAATCAAAAAGATGGACAATTAACAAGGATTGGTGGAGATGCAGAGAAATTGGAACCCTCACACACTGCTGGTGGGAATGTAAGAAAAAAATGTACTCCCACACTGCTGATAGGAATGTAAAAATAAAAGTGGTGCAGCCACTTAGGAAAACAGTCAGGGTGTTCCTCACACGTTTAAATGTAAGAGTTACCTACCATATGACCTGGTGATTCCACTTCCTAATACCTACCCAAGAGAAATGAAAACATGTCCATACAGAAACCTGTGTACCAGTGCTTATACCAGCATTATTCCTAATAGTCAAAAGGTAGAAACAATCCCTAATGTCTCCATCAACTGATGGATAAACAAAATATGGTATATTCATACAATGGAATACTCTTCAGCCATAAAAAGGAATGAAGTACTGATACTTTCTACACAATTGATAAACCTTGAAAAACACCATGCTAAGTGAAAGAAGCCAGTCACAAAAGACCACATATATGATTCCATTTACATGAAATGTACAGAATAGGCAAGTCTATAAAGACAGAAAGTAGATTAGGGGTTGCCTAGTGCTAGAGGGATGGCAGACCTGGGGTGATAACTAAATGGTACTGTGAGGTGATGACTGAAGGGTTTTTGAGGCGATGAATATGTTCTAAAACTGACCGTGGTAGTTATACAGTGGTTGTATTAAAAATCACTGAGTGATACACTTTAAATGAACTATGTGGTATGTGAAGTTTATCTCAATAAAGCTGTTATATTTTTTAAAAATCAAGTAAATGCCAAGAGATTTCACTGTCCACATTTGTATCTACTAACAAATTGACATCCGGAAGCACTATTTTATCTCAGACTTAGTGAAGGACAGAAACAGGTTTAATACCTAAATGAGGTTACAAAGGTTTCTCAGGAGCTCATCAGAAAAGATGGTGGGAGATATAAGTCACCACACAAGCTGAATTCAAGAGAATTCTACCATGGACATCAGTCCACAATCACATAGCAAGGAGGAATTAGTTTTAGCTAAACATCATATTACATTATCACTGTTAGTCAATTTTATTGGTTTTAAAGTTTAGTTCGTGAATTTGTTATAGTTTTCTACTTGCTTAAAAGCTATAGGTATAAGAAGCTTACACAAATGTTCATGTTTATACTAATTTAAGTAATATTACAGTAAGAATAAATTTAAATCAGTACTAAGGGTCCATGGGAACCTGAACATTTACTTACGTTTGAAGAAACAGTGATAGCAGGGACCGAGCAGACCACAGTTGAAAAAGTCAGATGAAAAATCTGGGTTTAGATTCTCAGCTATTGCTTGAGCCAATAAAATGAAGAAACTGAGAGCTACATCAGCCCTAAGGTCTCTCTTTCACCCCCAAAAATGAATTGAGTCTAATAGGCTAGACATTTTGATATCATTGTTACCTGTGTGTGTGTATGTGTGTGACAGAGAGAGATGGACAGCTGTGACTGTATAGTGTTACCCAGGGTTTGTTTTGCTTACTGTGCTTGCTAATGGTACCAGA